AAATTCTAAAAGAGTCAACTTATAGGAACAACCAGAATAAGCAAAAAAGTTAGGCATTGCAAAATGTTTTAGGCTTCCTTTCAAGAGGCTTTGTGGCCTGCACACCGGGAAAGCCTGACACCTACTGGAATAGAAATAATTTGCAATGGCTATGCTAAGGTGGATATGCTAAAGTCAAAGGTAGGAAAAAGAAATAAAAGTAAAATTAGTTAAATAAACCAAATTTATGAAAAAAAGATATTAAGGAAATTTTAAGTAAAATTAGGTTAAATAAAACAAATTTATGAAAAACATTATATTAAGGAAGTTTACATTATATGACTGCAAAATAAATTGGCCCCAAAAAGCAAACTCCCTGCATATCCTGAAATGGGGACACATTCATGTCATTCTCCTGGAACTTTACATTGAGAATATTGTACACATACAATAATTTGTGACTCTGACATTGTGCAATGGTTGATCATCAAGAGAATCCAATTGTATTCACCATACTTTGCATTCATGAAAGACAAATTAATGATGTCTACAAAAAGCTTTAATTACAAAATTTGGTATATACATATAAAGTGGTTTCTTCTTAAATCCTAAATTAATCAGAAAATTAAACGCTAAGAAATTTTCCATGATCTGAATTTTTGCATGATTGCCTTTCAGAATTTATTTAAAATATTGTAAAACAAATAGTTTTACCAAAACAAATACTTCTATTCCAGTTTAAATAGTATATATGGGCCTCCCCGGTGGCGCAGCAGTTGAGCGCTGGGTTGTGAAGCTGCCCGCAGCCTCTGCAGTGCTGGTTCGATCCCCGGTCACCGGGTGAGGGTCCCACATTGCGCGCAGACCTCTCCCACAACCTGCTGCTCCCCTCAGCGATGTATTTTCTCACTCTGCCTGTTCTGCTCTCTGCTCTGGCTCTGGTGAATTCTCTCACCCTCCCACACTTCTGACTGTACCCAGTGCTTGTATAAATAAATAAGTAAATCTTTAAAAAAATTAAATTAAATTAAAAATATAGTATATATTATTTTGAAAAAGAATGCACTATATAAAGTCACCTACAGTGAAATAATCAATATTCTGTTTGAAAATGGTAATTTTCTTAAGACAATTAATATCAAGATGAATGAACTTCTCTTTATAAATATTAGCCCAAACTAAATAAATCTAAATATAAAAAAGTCTAGTGCTATATTCATGTGTGATTTACATATCAAAACTCATTTTATTAAATATAAATTATTTTTTCCAGTTTCTATTAATTATTTCTTATTGTGTATATTTCCTTTGGATTTCTTTCTCATTCATCACTAACATACTGCATATATACATTTTGAATTATTGGGATATCAGAAAAGTCATGATGCATTTTTGCTTGAAAAACAGGAAAAAATAGGGCCTCCCGGTGGCGCAGCGGTTGAGTGCTGGGCTGTGAAGCTGCCCGCAGCCTCTGCGGCGCGGGTTCCATCCCTGTATGCTCCTGGGCACCGGGTGAGGGTCCCACATGGTGCGCAGACCTCTCCTGCCTCCCGCTGCTCCCCTCAGCAGTGTACTTCGGTCCTTCTGCCTGCTCTGCTCCCCGCTCTGGCTCTGGTGAATTCTCTCACCCTCCCGTGCTTCTGACTGTACCCAGTGCATGTATAAACAAAAACAAACAAACAAGCAAATAAATAAATAAATAAATAAACAAACAAATAAATAAATAAATAAAAACATGCCTCTATTAAAAAAAATATACTCACGATTTTTCCAACAATACATTCAGATTTTGAAACATTGTGAATAAATATTTTTCTGAACACTGAGCTTTATCATGTGAATTGCACATAAATGATGAGTGTAGTTTTCTGATAGAGGTTTTTTTAATTATTGATACATGTAAGCAATTATGTTTAAACTAAATTTATCAGGTCACCAAAGAACTGAAAAGACCTATATCTACTTGCATATGAGACAAAAACATCAGGATACATAAATATATGCATGTTGGTACTATATATGTTCTCTTTATTAAAAAGCCCCACTGAACTCTGAATCATTTAGCAGCAGCAGCAGCAACAGCAGGTGTTTTACATGTGTTATATTAACTCACTTAGTCTCAGTACAATCCTATATTAAGGAAGTTTTAAGAATCATTACATATATATAGGCCTCCCGGTGGCGCGGCGGGTTGAGCACAGTGCTATGAAGCTGTCTGCAGCCTCTGCAACTCAGGTTGGATTCCTGGCCGGCCAGGGACATACCCACATGGCACGGCAGACCTCTCCTGTCTCAACCGCTGCTCCCCTCAGTGTTGCTTTTGGTTCGTCTGCCTGTTCTGCTCCCTGCTCTGTCTCTGATGAATTCTCTCACCTTCCCGTGCCTTTGGACTGTGCCCCAGCTATTGTATAAATAAAAAAATAAATCTTAAAAAAAAAAAAACCTAAGGCCTCCCCGGTGGCGCAGTGGTTGAGCGCTGGGTTGCGAAGCTGCCCGCAGCCTCTGCTGTGCCAGTTCGATCCCTGGCTGCTCCCCGGCCACCAGAGGAGGGTCCCGCATGTCGCACAGACCTCTCCTGCCGCCCGCTGCTCCCCTCAGCAGTGTACTTCCTCCTTCTGCCTGCTCTGCTCCCTGCTCTGGCTCTGGTGAATTCTCACACTCTCTGGCGCTTCTGACTGTACCCAGTGCTTGTATAAATAAATAAACAAATAAATCTTTAAAAAAAATTTTAAAAAAAGAGTACTTTGCGAGAGAGTTTATTTAAAAAAAAACTTAAAAAAATCATTACATATATATCTTATTCAATATAACTTCTTAATAGATAGTACATTGCAAAATCGACAGGATCCAAAAAGCAAACTCCATTGCATATCCTGGAATGGGGACACATTCATGTCATTCTACTAGAACTTAACATTGAGGATATTAAGTATATATTATTATACTTTACTGAATAGATGACACATTTAATCATTGATGACAAGCTAATGACTAAAAAGTTATAAAGTCAAGATCTAAAAGCAGGTTGTCTGGCTCCAGCATCTACAAATCAGCATCTGGTTTACATGCCTCTGTATTCGGGGATCATTTTCCTTCATTATTTTGTTTTACTTTTGCAGGTATTCCTGGCCCTTCCCCTCCCACTTAATTCAGCATTAGAAAGAAAAACAATTACTACAGACACACCCTCTCTTCTTCATTTGTCCACAAATGAAAATCTTGTTCGGCAGGCAGTCCTTCATCTGAAATGACATAAATTTGACAGACACTAAAAGTATATGTCTACGAAGACTGTGCAGTTGAGTCACAATATTTTCGCATACCTTTCTAAAAATCAGAGGAATTTGAAGAAAATAGGACTGATGAACACAGGAAAGAATAACTTTGTTATCTTTTATTTCTTAAGAAAGATATTTCTTGTGGTCATTACTAAACGCATCCATTGATGCTTCATTCCACTATCAGTTTAGAATAAGAATGTATGTGGTTTTGGGTTAGGGACATTTCATATGGCAAATGAACAATTTTTGGATATTTTAAATTTAGTTTTTCCACTAGTTGCCTTAGAGTATTGGATTTCTAAAACATGCCAACCAAAAGTCTATGCATGAAATTCTATGAACACAGTTCCCCTAGGTCATTATCCACAGACGTCAAGTTGTATAAGTCAAAATAGAATCCTTTTACTATCATCTTTTTTTGCAAACTCTTTTTTTACAAATAACCTAAGATGTCTGCTTCTGCCTAGAACAAACGTCTTACCCATTAAGCTGGGAAAAAAAAAAATCAATAAAAGCTTTTTCAGTATACTTTGCTGCACAAAAATAACAGTGCTATTTCCTTTAAAGAGAATCCCAAATGTAATCTGCTGTTTGGGGGGCCCCCTTCCGCCCCCGATCCCCACTGTGGAAAGCTAAACACTTCAAAGTAACTGTTTTCCATTCACCATAATCAGTCTGGAAAGGTACAAAGGATTTCTAGATTTAAGCAAAATACTTATCTGGGATCATTCCATTTACCTTCCTGCTTGTCACCATTTTGTCATAGCATGTTCTATTTTCAAGCTTATATTTTCAGATAATTTGGTTTTAAAATTATATTTACATTTTTTAACATCCCTTAATGAGCTTATGTCATCAGGAGCATAAAACCAATTATGAGTCACACCAGGGGATCTTTGGCTTTGGATAGTTCTTTCAATTTACACTGGATCAAAGATTACTGGGTCGTGAGCAATCTACTGATTTGGTTTTGTTGCCCCATCTGTGCTGAACCTATCTGCCTTATATAGGTGAATCACTGAGTCAGCTTTATTTGTGGAAGTACATCTGGTCCTAAAAGGTCTAAATATCCCGGAGCAGATATGAACTATCTTTAGTGGCCCTATTCTGGGGGGAAATGTGTGGCCCTTTAACATTAGGTTGATTTTTTTGTCCCAAAGTTAGGTTGATTTTTTTGCATTATTTTAATTTTAAAGCAGACGAAATTTCTTACAATCCACTAATTTCAAGGCATATATCTCTTACTGATATGAACTTACAGTGATTTGATTTTATAGTCATAGAACATATTTAATACTGAATTTTACAAATTGCCCCTGTCCCATAACCACCCCCTCAAAAAAAGGTCACAAATATGAGGGGAGAATATAAGTTGAACATAAGATATGTATTCACAACAGGAAAATGATAGTAATCTCAATGCTAATATCAATAATTGTCATAGGACAATTCAGGATTGTGACTTAGTTCACAGTTAAATAACAGGTTCTGAGTTTAGCTTAGATTTATTCTGAATGTACTTTAGTGATATAGATTTTGTTTTTGCTTTTTTTTTACTTTCATGAGTATAGTAATATAGTAACATGTTTATTCTATAGTATCTCTAGATATTTTAAAGCTAAGTACCAATTTTTAAAGAATCTTATTTCATAAACCTAGAATATAGGTTTATGAAAATAATTTGGAGGCAAAGAATTCTTGGCAATGATTATTTTCTAACAAAAAGTATCTCTTCCTTAGGAATTGGTGTGCTTATGTACATACCAGATTATCTCCTACAGTGATACTAGAAAACCAAGACACGTATGTGCCAAGTGGGAGAGGACTCTGTGGCTGGACCAGAGGATCCTGTCCTCAGAGGTATGTAATGTCTCTTGAATATAGTCACTGTGGGCCTCTGGTGATACAGGGGTTAAAGTCTCACTGCTATCAAGTTACCTGCAGCCACTGCAGCATGAGTTCAATACCTGGCCAAGGGGCTAACCCACCCGGTGCTGCAGACCTCTCCTTTCCCCGCCTGCTCCCCTCAGCATTGTTATTTCAGTCAATCTGTCTGCTCTGCTCCCCACTCTGTCTCTAATGAATCCTCTCACCTTCACCGCCCCCCATCCTCACACCCAGTTCTTCTTTGCATAAATAAATAAAAATAAAGCTTTTTTAAAAACAAAAGAAAATAGTAATTTCTTGCATTGAAATCATTCATAGCTTGGAATATATAAAGTTAATCATTCCAGGTTAATATGTAGAGTAGGGCCTCCCTTGTGGCGCAGGCAATTGAGCGCTGCACTTGAAGCTGTCCACAGCCTCGGCAGTGTGAGAATCCCACATGGCACGGCAGGCCTCTCCTGTCTCGCCTGCTGCTCCCTTCAGCAGTGTATTACGTCAGTCTGCCTGTTCTGTTCCCCACTCTGCCTCTGGTGAATCCTCTCACCCTCCCTCACATCTGGCCTGTACCCCGGTTCTTGTATAAATAAATAAATCTTTAAAAAATATGTAGAGTAGGAGTAGGGGGAGTCTCTCTGTCTGTATGATCTTGAATAAGCTAAATTAAACTGTATGTGTGATCTTAAGTAAGAATATGAGGTAATGTAGTAGTGTATTTAGCCTAGTACCTGGTACTTTGTAAATCTTTAATAAATATTAACTCCCTCATGCCTATTACTATTTTTACTATTATTATTACATTACCTGATCAACAATCCTTTAATTCCTTATGAAATTCATACCCATTTATAAAGTTTTACTGATGACTTCCAATTCATGCTAGGTCAGAGATAAATTCATAATTTTGCAAAGCATAATTATGCATGGCAAATCAGCTAAATAAATTCTTTTTTCTTGTATCTATTTTAAAGACTCATGTTATTTGGTGTTTTTTTTTAAATTTTTCTAATTGTCCTAAAATATGGGGCAGTTTAATTGATAGAGTCCCTGAATTCATAAGGTCAGTTAAGATGGATATAACAGAAGAAACAAAATAAAACCTAAAATTGTTATTCAAAACATGATGGCTAAGGTTATGCAAATTGCCATATAAATAACTCACATGCTGCATCTGACACATGGGCAATCTGGATGAATGCACAGTAAGGATACATAAAATCAAGGTATTTCTTAGTCCCTTGAGGAATAACTAAGGTTCATGGTCCAAAAATCAGCACAGATCAGGGATCTGAGAGAACTAAGCTCCAGTTCTACTTTCAGCATTACTCCCTTTGTGACAATTTCCTTGTTCACATGAGATACAAAGACTGCATTGTTAATTCTTTAGCAGTGAAAATATTGCCACAGTAACCCATATCATACTGACATTCTGGGTTCAAGAAGAGCTCTCTTTTTAAACAAACCATAAATATGAATATGTACTTTATTCTAATCACTTATCTTTCCCTACTTCTGAATGGGCTTCTTCGTTCAGTCACTATTTCAGTACTTTCACACTATTTGTCACTTTTTCTTTTATTTGTGTCTATTATGTACACCAGAGATCAAGTTTGATCCCGACAATAATGCAACTAATGGCTTGTGTTCACCCTAACACATTCTAAAGACCCCTTTTCCAAACTGCCTTACCTCCTATTTAATTTTAGATACTTGGCTGGAGATGACATGTCTTCAGATAAATTTATATATGGAATAGAATTGACTGAAATAAGCAGAGATAAATGACTGGCTTACTTTGAGAGATGGAATGATCTTATAGCTTATTTTAATTAATCATTTTTATTTATTATTTATTTTATTATAAATTGTTTATTGCTTAATTTATTTTATTTATTTATTTTTATTAGTTTATTTTTTAATTGTGGTAGCATTATGATTTTCTCTATCAGGTGTCACCACAGTATGGCATCCACCATCAAATTGCTCTAGTCCACCAGCATAGTGTACTGTGCTTCCTTCCCTCTTGTTCCCTACACCTTCCCCTCACCCTCTCCATTTTGGATACTTCAGTTCCAGAGTCAGTTTTCAAGGAGTAGCAGTTACTATTGTGTTTCTACGGCTCTTGGTTTGGTTTCTCTATATTCCACTTATTAGTGACACCATCTGATATTTATCTTTCTCCTTTGTTTTTTCATTTAGCATTACTTCTTTCAACTTCACCTATGTTGCTGCAAAAAGACATGAGCTTACTTTTTTGACTGCTGAGAGTGTATGTGTGTGTGTCATGTATATGTGACATGTTCAAAACCCATTTATCTGATCTTGAATATTCAGGCTGTTTCTGTATCCTGGTTATTGTAAACAATACTGTAATGAGCATTTGAGTGCAGTTTTCCTTTTTAATTACTATATTTGTGTTCTTCAGGTAGATACCAAGAAGTGAAATTACTAGGTCATATAGCAGAACTATTTGAAGTCTTTTGAGAAAACCCCTCACAGTTTTCCATAGGGGATGAACCAATTGAACATTCCAACCAACAGTATAAAAGGGTAACTTTTACTCCACATCCTCACCAGAATTCATTGTCTCTGGACATTTTGATGTGGGTCATTCTCACAGGTGTGAGATGGTATCTCACTGTGGTTTTGATTTGCATTTCTCTGATAATAAGTGATTATGAACTTTTTTTTTCATGAATGGTGTGTAAATATATTTTTTTCCATCAGTGGGGTGTCTTCTCTGTTTTAGCTATAGTTTTATTGTTGTTGTTGTTGTTGTACAAAAAAATTTCAGTTTTATGTAGTCCCATTGTTTTGTATTCTCCTTTGTTTTGCTTGCTCCTGGAGATGAGTAAATAAAGATGTTCCTGTAGCATATCATGGACTCTTTTTGTTTATGTTTTTTCCTATATACTTTAAGGTTTCAGGTCTTCTGTCCAATTTTTTATTTTCATTTTGAATGATATTTGTGTATGGCTTGAGATAGTGATATAGTTTCTTTTTTTTTTTTTTGTATGTGGCTGTCCAGATTTCCTGTCGCCACTTATTTAAGAGGCTTTCCTTGTTCCAGTTTACATTCTTGCCTCCTCTGTCATAGGTTGAAACCCAAGATATAGGTTTGGGTTTAACTCTGGGCTCTCTATGTTACTCTGTTGTTGTATGTTTTTGTTTTTGTCCAAGTACCATGCTATTTTAATTATTATGGTTCTGTAATACAGTTTGGGGTCTGGAAGTGTGATACGACCAATCTTCACCTTTTCTGTGAGGATTGTTGTGCAAGTCTGAGTTTTTTGTGTTTCCATGTCAATTATGGTAATGGTGTTTTGTTTTTTTTTTAGATTTATTTATTTATTTATACAAGCACTGGGTAAAGTCAGAAGCACGGGAGGGTGAGAGAATTCACCAGAGCCTGAGCAGGGAGCAGAGCAGGCAGAAGGACCGAAGTACACTGCTGAGGGGAGCAGCGGGCGGCAGGAGAGGTCTGCGCGCCATGTGGGACCCTCCTCTGGTGGTCGGGGAGCAGCCGGGGATCGAACCAGAGCCACAGAGGCTGCGGGCAGCTTCGCAACCCAGTGCTCAACCGCTGCGCCACTTGGAAGGCACTATGGTGTTTTTTTTCTTTGACGAATGTCATTGGACTTTTGATGGGTATTCTGTTGAAACTTTGGGTAGGATGATTATTTGACAATGTTGATATTTCCAATCCATAAGCATGGAATATCTTTCCATGTTGTTGTGTCTTCTTCCATTTTTTTTAACAGTGTCTTATAGCTTTCTTTTTATAAGTAGTTCACCTCCTTTAGATTACCTCCTAGGTATTTAATTTTTTGAGACATAACAGTGAGTGGGCTCTTTTTAAAATTTCATCCTATCTCTTTTTTTGCATAAGTGACATTAACTGATTTTTGTGTTTTGATTTTATATCACTTTGATTTATATGATATTTTATATTCACTGTGCTGAAATGACTTACTGTTTCAGTTAGCTTTTCAGTAGAATATTTAGAATTCTTTATGTATATTATCATGTCTGTGAAAATGATGTTTTTACTTCTTTTCAAATTAAGATTTTTTCTATAGCTTTCTCTCATTTAATTGCTATGTTGAAAAGTATTGGTTAGAGTGGACATGCTTGTTTTAAACCAGATCTTTGTGGAAGAGCTTTGTAGTTTTTCACTATTGAGAATGATATTAGCTGTTGGTTTGTCATGTATAACCTTTATTATGTTGAGATAGGTATTGTTTATCCCAAGTTTTTGAGGGTTTTATCATATATGGATGTTATATTTTATCAAATGATTTCTTGGCATCTATTGATACGATCATATGCTTTTTGTTTCTTTTTACTGATGTGGTCAATCAATATGATTGATTTTCATATGTTGTACCACCCTTATATTCCTGATGTATATCCTGATTTGTATGAGTCTTTTAATGCATTGTTGGATTCTGATAACTTAGATTTTACGAGGATTTTTGCATTTGTGTTCATTAGGGAGATTGATCTATATATTTCTTGAATATTCTCTGTTTTAGTTTCATTAATACTTTGAATTGTCTTTTTAACTTCTAATTCATCAGTTTATGGTAACTTCTATTATTTCTTTTTCTTTTTTTCTATTGGCTTTTGGGTTTGTTTGTACTTCTTTCAAGTGAGGGATAAGGTTATTTTTTTGAGTTCTTTCTTGTTTTATGATGTGGCCTGAGTTATTATTTATCTTCCTCTTATTACTACTTTTGCTGCATCCCATAAGTTCTAGTGGGTTGTGTGCCCATTGTCATTTGTTTTGATATTTTATTTATTTCTTCTCTTATTTCCTCACTAACCCAGTATTTTTTAAGTGCTGTGTTGTTCAATTTCCATGTATTAGAGGTTTTCCGTGTGTGTGTGTGTGTGTGTGTGTGTGTGTGTGTGTGTGTGGGGGCGGGTGGTTGTTGCTGTTGTTTTTCTGGTTGATTTCTAGTTTGATGCCATTG